AGAGCGTTAGCTGGCGCTATCAGTAAAAACTTCTACATTCGCGAGGACTCAGTGGAGAAGAAGACAAGCTGGTGCCTATTAGTTTCCACTTAAGGAGTTAAACAGTTGTAAAACGGTTTTAAAAAACTAATAAGGCGCCAGTGGACTGCAGGCAACATAACTATTTCACTGACATGAAGTGTTTTTTATGCCCTGTTGTCGTTTAAAGACACTCTACATGCATAGAAACAGACTGGTACGGCAGATATGAACCATTCGGCCCATCTAGTCTGCCCAATTTTCTAAATACATTCATTAGTCCGTGGCCTTATCTTGTAGCTAGGATAGCCTTATGCCTATCCCACGCATGCTTACACTCCTTTACTGTGTTAACCTCTACCACTTCAGCTGGAAGGTTGTTCCATGCATCCACTACCCTCTCAGTAAAGTAATACTTCCTGATATTATTTATCAACCTTTTCCCCTCTAATTTAAGACATGTACCCTAACCACTACATCTCATTGCAGTAGTTATGATGGAAAGAATCTTTGGATGCCATAGCCAAAGTTTGTTTCAAACTTTTAACAAAACTGGGTCTGTCAACCCTTCTCTCTGTGACAAGAAGATGTAGTGGCTATGAAGCCTAGAATATCATTTTAATATTTTGTACATGTCCTCTGTGAGCAGTGGAATTGTGGACATTTAATCATCGTGGTATTTCTGTAAAGCGGTATGGTTAAACATTCAAATTGCGTTTCTTTTTCAGTCTGCATGCATGAGTGTCCATGTACATGAAAAAAAAGTTAATAAAAATGTTTTGTTTTATTTTTTATACTTTTTCCCCTACTTGAAGAACTGACAAAGTAGAATGCAGTCCATGATGTCCAGATATATACACCAATTCCATTTCACTGCTTCCACCAAAGTTGCTTGTTAAAATTAATTATCACATTCTATCATCACATAAAATATAAAAAGTTCTATAGGACACACAAAAAAAAGAAACCTTCAAATCAGTTCTTACCATGAAGAACACTAAAATACAACACAGTTTACAGCCTATGGGGGAAAACAGGTGTCTGATATACAATAGATGCTATACATTATTGTAGGCATTAAAAAAAATCTATATCTTCATCTATTGATATTTTAAACAACAGTTTCTTTTGTTTAATTTAAAAGTTTATGTACTGTTAACACTATGTTATAAAAAGAAAAGTTCTGTAAAACCGAGGTGAAGAGTATAATAAGCACCTAAAATTGTGTTCTTCTATTTCTCAAGGAATAAAAAAATACTAGAAAAATTGATATAAAATCCAAGATAATAAAAATAAATTAGACCATTCATTTAATGACAATATTGCTTTGAAATTATATTCATTTATGTTTAAAGTGGCTCTATCGCCTCTGGTCAATTTCTGATTATTTCATAAAGAAAATCATTATGAAATACTTATTGGATTGGAAATTCATTGAAACATCAATGCAATCATAAATATGATATGGACTACTTTGTCTTATGGGAAATTGATAGAAGGGTCGCGCTTCCACCATCAACTTTTGTCAATAGGGTGGTTCTGGGATAGAGCATTTTCTCATGCATCGTATGCTGGCAAATGAATGATACTGCGGTCTCATACAGACACCAACATGCACTTCTGATTTCGACAACCAAGAGGAGGAGCTTTAGTTAATCCTTTCTACCTTTAGCTTCTCCCCTGGTCCACCATACACAAAGCAGTGATGTCACCTTCAGGGGTCTTTACAAAATATGGAAGTGACAGAGCCACTTTATATTTAGATGTTTTATGGTCTAATTCATTTAATATTAATTAAAACAGTTTTACTAAAAATAAAATACAAACTAAATTCATGATTACATAGTTGAAAATTGTTCATCAGTGATTAAACCCTTGGAGTTTCGACTCCTGGCCTTGGAAGTTAATTCTTATTTCCTTTACTGCCAGCCACGCTGCGGCAATCCAGGCTGGAGCGGGAAAGGTGTCCCAGGTACTGCCGAAAATCCAGCAAAGGCATCAGCCTGCTGAGCAAAACCCTCTAGGGCTGACTGAGAATGAGCCTTGAGCAGGAAGAAAGGGCAAGAGAAAAAATAAAGGTCAGATGTGTGATCTGCAGTATAACAGTCATACCTGGAAATATACTGGGTGTGACTGAGGTTTTGGGTCAACAACATTATTATGTAGCATCTTGGCTCACTACTATCTATTTAAGGGTTAGAATTGTGAGCAAGTGATGTTGATACAAATTTGCAAACTGTGAAACTAAAGAATGTTCTGAATACTTTTTTTTCCCCTTTAATATTTCATTTTTTTGGTATAGATCTGGCATGGCTCAAAGTTTCAGTTTTAATTTACCAGCCAGGTCTGAAACCATATGCAACAAGCATTATGATTCACATTTTCTCCCCAAAGCAGAGTATAAATATATGAGATATGGCAGGGATGCAATGTGTGTGTGAATGTAGAGGTGTATTTGCGTGGAGGATTAATGAATGCAGGGTTGTGTCTGCAGTGTCACTGTGCATGTGTGAATGCATTCAAGTATGTAGATGAAGTGCGAATACATGAATGCAGAGGTTTATGCAAGTGAATGCATAGGTATGTGAGAAAGGCAAGTATGAGAGAAGCATTGTGTGCTACTGGTGTAAGAGGTGTTGCTGCTATGCCAGTGTCATTATAAAAGGAGTGCTGCTGCTATGTCACTGCTGGTATAAGAGATGTTGCTGCGATGCCAGTGTTGGTATAAGAGGTGTGTTGCCGCTATGCCACTGCTGGTATAAGAGATGTGCTTCTGGTGTAAGAGGTGTTGCTGCTATGCCCGTGTTGGTATAAGAGGTGCGCTGCTGCTATGTCACTGCTGGTAATTAGAGATGTGTTGCTGCTATGCCACTGCTGGTATGAGATGTGCTGCTGGTATAAGAGGTGTTGCTGCTATGCCAGTGTTGGTATAAGGGGTGTGTTGCTGCTATGCCACTGCTGGTATAAGAGATGTGCTGTTGCTATGTCACTACTGGTATAAGAGATGTGTTGCTGGTATAAGAGATGTGTTTCTGCTATGTCACTGCTGGTATAAGAGATGTGTTTCTGCTATGTCACTACTGGTATAAGAGGTGTGTTGCTGCTATGCCACTGCTGGTATAAGAGATGTGCTGCTGCTATGTCACTACTGGTATAAGAGGTGTGTTGCTGCTATGCCACTGCTGGTATAAGAGATGTGCTGCTGCTATGTCACTACTGGTATAAGAGGTGTGTTGCTGCTATGTCACTGCTGGTATAAGAGATGTGCTGCTGCTATGTCACTGTTGGTTTAAGAGATGTGCTGCTGGTATAAAAGGTGTGCTGCTGCTATGTCACTGCTGATATAAGAGGTGTGTTGAAATAATGTAATTTTTAATAAAAGACGTGCTGTTACTATGCATTCATGGATATAAAGTTGCGAGGCAATTTACCTGTAACAGTGCCGTTTGTGCTGCTGCTGCCGCGGCTGCGCTTTGCTGAAGTCCTTGTAACGATTGTGAGGGACTTTGAGGAAATCCAGAAATACCAGAAAGAGAGAGAAGAGGAAATGCAGATGGCCTGAGAAGAGAAAAAAACAAAAAAACACTGTAAACTAAGATCCTGCAAGAAAATTGTAAAACAGTTAGTCTTATCACATTACCCCTCCTTAATATGAAGCAAAGAGCACTAGAAATAGACCAGTAAAAAAAAATTATATATATTAAGTAAATCATCATGTACCACATTTAGCAAGGCAAAACTGGGAAACATTTGGAGCAGAATGCATGGCACTAATAAGGGCAATTGATAGAAAACACACACACACCTTTTATACATAACCCCAATTCAGACAGCTATTCTATCATCAAGATCTTACATTTGCAGAAGGGAGGGCTTGAGATGACCTATGAGGCATCATAATGTATGTGAATGGATATTATATAGAAATTTATAAAGTTATAACAATACGTGCAAGGAACACTTACTGTTGGTGACACTTTTCAATTGCTTATGATGCACAGATATGCAACCATTATGGTTTAAGAGCATTGGTACATAGTCTTTGATTTAAGATTTTTGAATGAGCTTTTAACATTTTTGAAATTTAGAAGATTTTTAATACATTGATGTTTTTGAGATAATACAGTATAGCATTTTATTTTATTATTTTAAGATTTTTGATTCTTTGAAAAAATTATTTTAAAAATGTATCCAAAAATATTGAATTATTTGAAAAGAGAGTGTACAAAAATGTAAAATCAAGGCCATAGTTGGAAAAAACTAGCACTATGGAGAAAAATGAAGATGTCACGTGACTGAGATCTCTTTAAAAGCAATGCGTACCATCACAATTCACCTTAGGTGATTATTATTCATAAACTACAGCTGAAACTTGAAAGAATTGTTTAAGAATAAAAAAAATGATGAGATAATGATTCATGTGTTTCTTGCTTAACAGAGTTTAAAGCCAATAAAGTTGATAATTCAGATTTCCATAGAGAAAAGATACACTGACACATATTTTGATATGTAAGCTCTATATACTAATATATTACAATGCTATTAACCAACAAAAGTGAAATTTCTCCCCAGCTTCTCAAGCAGTGATACAATTTTTTTCCCAACGTATTCCAAATATGTACACTATACTATACTATGCTCCCAACCACATAGTTGCTCCCATTAGTGTAAACAGAATTAAGAATAATAAGTTCAAACCATTGACAAAAAGATTAATTGAGGGCAAAAAATGTAAACCATCATAAAAATAATACATTTCATTTCAGAGAGCAGTTATATAAAAATAAATAATAAAAAAATAAATCTCTGAAACACAAAGGTTTGTTCACAAAATAATGCTTAGAATTTCAATATGGTCTAATTTATATTGAAATATTAGATACAATAATTGTTTTATTTCTGTTAAGACATAGGTTAGCTAATTCAACATAAGAAATTCTCCAGGCACTCAAGGTGTTGAAGCCGCAGACAGGTTTAATGAAACAAAGAGCAGCAACGTTTCGACCTGCTAAGATGTCTCTCTTAGCAGGTCGAAACGTTGCTGCTCTTTATTTCATTAAAACTGCCTGCGGCTTCAACACCTTGAGTGCCTGGAGAATTTATTTTGTTGCCTTATCGTTGTGGGATTGCTGGTCCAACTCCAGAGCACCAGGTGGCTGCTGGGATTGAGTGCGGCTCCTACCATCACTTTTGCAAAAGGTTAGCTAATTAGCTACAAGCAATCTAATGTATAAAAAGGATTTAGTGTTTGAAATGTATGATGATGTAAAATGCACATCATGTTTACAGGATAATTTGTGACGTTAATATGAAGTCATCTGTCAGATATAGCAGGAATTTCATGAACCAGATAATTACTGAAAAAAAACATAATATTTTTTATAAAGGGACATTTCTACATGAAAAGACAGTGAACATTATACTTCATAAGATAATTATCTTTACATACACTTCTGCTTTCCGATTGATACCATGATATTATTTACTTGGACACACACTTTACAATGCCAAACATAGATTCATTTTAACACTTACCCAGCTTGTCCAACAAGAGCAGAGTTAAAGTTGGAACTGAAGGCAGATGCAAATCCAGGGAGAACGGAAGCTGGGGATGGGGCAGTTACAGCTGAAGGACCAGGAGGGACTGCTAGTGAAGAAGAAGCCTGGAGACCAGGAAAGGATGAAAGAGCAGGCATAGCTGGATTTAGAGGTGGTGTGCTAGATGCTGAGAAACCAGGAAATGATGGATTTGAAGAGAGTCCTTGTGGTACAGAGAATAGTGAAGGTACACCAGCAGACAAATTCAAAGGAAAAGATGAAGCAGCAACTGCTGCTGCGGCAGCTTGAGCAGAAAGGCCAGGAAAAACAGAGGAGGATGGGGGTGGTGTTACAGAAGCAGCTGTAGTGGAGTTTAACAGGGCTACATTAGGATTGAGGACAGGGCTACCACCAAATGGAGATCCATTAGAAATAGAAGTGAAGGGAGGGAAAACTGGTGGCATTGATGTTATTGAAGACAAATTGGGGTTACCAAGGTTGCTGTTCATTGAAGACAAACCAGATAACCCTGGATTCATGGCACTAGATAAGCTCACTGGCCCTGGTGGAAAAACATGACCAAGTACACCTGGTAATCCTAAAGAGCCAAGAGAAGGAGTTGCTGAGCGTGATGGACCTTTGAAGGCAGAGGGTGATGGACTTGACGGTTCAGCCTTTATTAAAAGAGGGATGCTAGCAGATGATTGAGATGATGAAAGATTATGTTCTGATATAGAGGAAGAAGGGGTCGGACATGGTGGGACAGAGGTAAGGCAACTCAGAGGAGATGGTGTGGCCATGACAGGTTGCCCTGGTATTGTGGCTGCTGATGAAATTGGATTTATCATTGAAGGCGAATTGGAGCCAGAAAATAGCGACATTCCCGGAGTAGATGTCCTTTGAGAGGTGGGTGTAGAGCTAGGTGGCGTGTAACATTTGTTTAAAGCAGAAACAGAATCTGTGTTTTGAAGACTTGGTAACGGTAAAAGACCAGGTGCAGACACAGAAGGCAATGATGGTGAATTCAATAATGCCGCATCACTTGAAGCTAAAAATCCTTTCAATACAGATAACAATGGATTTCCAATATTAAGGGATCCAGCAGAAGCACCTGCAAGATCAGACAATGTTGGGCTTGGCATGCCCTGCAAGGATGGATTTAAGGACAATGGAAGACCAGCAAATAATGATGACATCATGTTGGCAGAGCTCACAGAAGCCGTAGAGGTGGTAGCAGAAAACGGTAGACTTGGAAGAGGCAGCATATCATTAAACATTGGATTTGTACAGGAGGAAGAGGAGCTGTGTTGTGGTGGAATTGAAGCAGCAGGAAGACTTGGAAACACTGCAGGAGTTTGAGTTGCACTAACAGCTGGTGCAGGTGTGTTGGAGGACATTTGGAGACTTTTTATAACAGTAGGAGTTGGTGTAGATGGCTTAGGTGATGACACTGAGGAAACAACCTGTCCAGAAAAGGGTGTATGTGTAGAAGGCATGCTTATCCCAGGAAGAGAAGGTGTTGAAGGAGTGGAAGGAGGGTTCAGACTCTTCGCAGGAGAAGGAGCAGGAGCAGGAGTTGCGGAAGGAGTTGGTGGAGCAGAAGAGCTGGTCTCATGTGGAGAAATATGTTGATTCGCTGCAAGAAAAATAACTTTGTAATTATGAGCACAAGAAATATTTCGAATATTAAAGCAACACTCTAGGGGCAAAGTGACCTCATTATTTCTAAAAATATTAAAAATATATATATATATTTATTACCTTTAAAAGGAAAAAAAAAAGTGTTCGATACTTCTTCCTGCTTCTACTAATACACTGCTAGCAGAAAGAGCTGTCAGACCCCTCCAAGATTAAAGAATCTACATCACTCAACATCCTCTCATTCTGGTTGATGGGGTTTTTAATTATCCCACAAACTCCCATATATCAAAGGTTTAAGGGAGAAGTAGTTCAGCCCTACTCATTGTAAAGCATGAATGGAACTGCTGAACAAGCTTACAGCAGCACCACATTCCAGCTGTTATCAGCAATCCACAGTTTTGGGGCAACCGTATGATCTTGTTCAGCTCCATGCATGCACACGATGTATTGACCTACTAAGCCAAAAGAGGGAGTAACATTCCTTTTTTGAGGTTAATGACCCAGGGAGCAGACATATGGCTGCAAAGCTTTTTAACTTATTGCTGCAGTTATAGTCCTACTAGTGCCAGAAGATTGGGAGTGCTCTCTGCACCTTAATAGTTAATTACCAATAGCCATAGTTGTAGCCAGAATTTAAGATGTTTCACCTACTTCACTACCAATGTCTCATCAACATTTGGTTACTTTAAAAAATAATTAATTTTTTTTTTTTTTTTTTTAAACCTATGCAAATGTATCATGCAGAAAGGCTTACTTTGATTTGTGATGGATTTTGATTGAGCCAAATTATCTTCTACTCCTAAAAGATTCATATAGTTAAAAAAAACAAAAAACACACACATACATACATACACACACACACACACACACACACACACACATACATACACACACACTTTAATAGGAATATACAATAAATATTCAAAGAAAGAACATTTCATTGTTTGTAATTTACAGTTTGAAAACAAAAATTATACATTCAAGAGATGAACATAAAATGAACAGATAAAGAAACTACAAGGCGATACATAGAGCTTGTATTCTACTTTATAAAGGGGAGGCTGTTGTGTTACGTAACGCTTTTGCTGATTGACCCACTGTTTAAAATGATATGATCAGTTCAAATGCCATGTGAGCCATTATATTTTCGCTTTTGCCCTTTTAGATATCTGTATTTCTCTTAGTAACACTTCCATTCCACATTATTAGATCTCGTAAGGTATACTGCTCATATCTACTAAAATGTCATCTACTGAAGTGTGTTTTAAGCACTTTGGGGCATATGAACAATGTTTTATCAAGAGGAGAAGACATTTTGGCTATTTATGGTATAAAACCCTTGTGAAGGAAGACAAAATTTGTAAGGATTTGAAATGATCCAACTAATTTAAGCAGTACGTCTGAGCATTGTCATGGTATGGTATAACTCCTGACGTGATCATCAACCGATAACCAAGGGATGGGGAGCATCTTTATATCTGAAACCATAGGGAAAGGCAACACAATTCAAGTAGACAGCCTAGGTATTTTTATTGTGAGGGAGCCATAAGACTTTCCAATAAGAATATGGAACATATGAAGTAATTAGCTTGGCCATTATGGTTTGTGCCTGGTAGATAGCTTTAGAAAAAGGTCTATGTTTGGGAACCTAAAACTATTTTTTTTTAATTATACTGATACAGAACTTTTTAAGAATGCTGTAGACTAAGAATGTTCAACCTTGGCCTTTCAGCTAATGTTAATCTAGGACTCATGATGGCGGCATAAGAATTATAGAAACTATGTTGTTTGCACATTGCTGGAGGGGCAAGAATAGAAACTCTTGTTCTAGAATTTGTAAACTTGTTATTCTTCATACCAGAGGTAGGGCCTGCTTGGTTAGCTGCGTATGGTGGTGGGAGAATTCCAGGAATTAGAACTCCATTGCAGTAAGCACCTATGAAATAAAATATAATGTAAGCACAGCACATAAGACAAAAAGAGTAGAGTAGGCTCAATATATGTAGGAATTTTAGGAGTATGGGAGAACCAAATCCCCAAGTAGTAGTAAAACAGGTTTAACAGAAACATTGGGTTTTAGATATGGCAAAATTATTAAATTCCTCTACACCTTACCCTAGTAAATTATATAAAAGCATTTAATGTGGTGAAGAAAAGGCAAGCTCTGTTGGATGTCATGGTTGATTGGTGCCACAATCCACCCCCAGTAGGTTCTGGATTCTGTGCATCAAGGTTCTATTACTCCTTTGAGTGAGCAAGAATAAGCATGAGCAACACTCAGGTGTCTCACATGAGATTTAAGAGTCACTTTAGGCATTAACCTATTCAATGCATTTGATGCACGGTTTTGACCTTTGTTAATGTGCTGTATTTTTTTGCATGCCCAATTCTTAAAAGTTTTTGCAGGAAAAAAAAAAAAGAAATATTTTAGTGAATGCTACACATCAAGAATGCATCCCTAGCTATTCCCTCTCATGCCAATAAAATCATCATTTTGACTTGATGCACCCAATCCCAGCCCCAACAGTAGTGAGCGGATTTTAATTCACAAAATGGCTGCAGACAGAGAAACTATAAATAGCTTGTGATATCCTTACTAAATGTCTCCCTGCGGACCTTCTATATGCTTTATATACTTAGGTCAGTTCAGTCAGTACTGTCAGTGGCTGAGCGGTGTGCATAGATTTGATAAGGAAGTGTTTTTTCTGGCCTGGAAGGCGTGGCTAAAGAGGCCGGCTTATGCAGTAGAATTCTGCAAAAATTACAGCAAATAAATGAGGCAAAAATCTACCAAATTCAAGTTGTAATAGTGTTCATTTTACATTTGCCTAGACACCAGGATGTACAAGCAAAGAAAACAACAACAACAACA